TGGAAAGGTAAAACCTGAAGCTCTAAAATATGGGTTTCCTCAATAGATGGTTTTAAAGTTTTCTCAAAAGAGGAAGTTTCAATTAATGTAAATTTTTTATTGATGAAGCTTTCATTCCTTATTACAGATTACCCTAACATTTCTTTTATCTCTTCAGCTTCTTCCTCTTCAGAAAATTCTCCTTCTAACAACTCCTGCTAAAGATTCTCTATTATCTCATCTTCTAAATCCTCCCTAAAGTAATCTTTAATCCTTTCTTGATGAGATTTGATAGATTTAAGTACATAAATTTTAACATCATAATCATGAACTCTCATAGTAGATTCACCCTTCTATACATCAATTATGGCTTGACCACTGGCTAAGAATGGTCTTCTTAAAATGAGATGTATTTCCTTATCTCTTCCATATCTACAATAAAAATAACTATAGGAAAAATGAATTTATCAGATTTAATCAACACATCTTCTATTACTCCTCCTAGGTAAGTGAAATATTTATCAGGTAACTAAAGAGTAATTGATGTGGGTTGAACCTCTCATATATTTACTCTTTTAAAAATAAAGAGTTATGTTAGATTGATTCTAGATCCTAAATCAAATAAATCTCTCCCACAAAAATTTTTAGCAACAGTAAAAGGAATGGAAAAGCTTCAAGGGTCCTTAATTTTTTTAAGAAGTTCCTTCAGAATTATAACATTAGACTTTGTAGATAATGTCACAGTTTCAAATTCACGTTACTTCGATTTCTAATTTAACATATCCTTCATAAATTTTTAATATTTTGGTATTTTTTATAAAGCTTTAGAGAAAGGAATATTAAAAGTTAATTTTTTAAACACCATTAAAAATTTTGTTCAATCAATATCTAAGGGAAAGTTGGTGGAGGACTCACTACAGCCCTCCTAACTACTTGTTCTAGTTTTTTAAAATTTCAGGTTATTTTCTTAACAATTTATCTTCTACTTGTTCAACATCACTATCATCATTTTGAGCTAAAACTCTATCTTTGTTAGGATCTCCTAAATCACTCCCACTTTAAGTTCGATATTATGATATTGTTCTTCCATTTTTTTATAATTAAACAACCTAGAAAGTTTCCCTATTTGATCCTCAATTTTGTTAAGAGAAAAAAATTAATTTTTCATTTAGATTCCTAGTCATAAAATAATATTCTCTAAGGGTATTTTCTCATTCATATCATGATAAAGTTTTTCAAAATAATAGGGATAAAGATGGAGTTGTCCAAATTTAGGTGGTGCGGCTCTAAGATTTATGAATTGATATTGAAATTATCATATTCATCTTCCCTGGTTTTAATTTTTAAAATATCTAATTTTTAATAAATTATTGTAACTTGTGTAATATTAATTTATAAATCATCATATTCATAAATTTTTTATACTTACTTAGGATTTACCCTATCAGCAGGAAACTAGAAAATATTTATTATCATTTTCTCTATTAATTCAAAGGCTTCTACAAAGTACTTAGACATTAATGTTCCTTTAATTACAGTATTAAATAAATTAAATTGCATATCTTTTCTAATAAAATTCTTACTTATAATATGATTCAAAGCATATGCATCCCAAGAACTCTATCAACCTTATAGGAGTAAAAAGGATATTTGTTGACTTCAGCTAGTTGTATCATCTCGTTAAAAACTTAGCATACTTTATATCCTATGTCTAGGTATACAAATATACTATTTTAATATTCTTTGTTGTTCTTGGATTACTTCATTGAGGTTGTACATCTCACTAGGTTTTAACTACATAAATAGACCCTATATGCATTAAATAAAAACATGGTAATATTAAAAACATTATTTAACATTTGAGTACAAGAATCTTCATTAGTACTTAATATGTTATGTAAAACATCAATCAAAAACTAGATAATTAATAAGACATGGAAGAAAAAAATAAGGAAACTCATTTTTATTAAGTTCATAATAGAACAAAATAATATGAAAATGATATCATGAGGAATGTTCAATGTATACCCTTCTTCCTTAATGTACAGAGTTGCTAAAAAATATTGATTGAACATTTTAATGATTATATCCAATACTTTGCAAATCTCTCTTAAAATTGGATCGAAGAGAGATCTAAAGAATGACTCTAAAAACTACCAAATATATATAAGTGACTGAACTCTTTAATAAATATAACACAACACATTGGCTATTTATAGGAAAAAATAAATTATTCTTCCAGTACTATAGCACTTGAAAAAAGATCAGCATTGTAATGTCCATAAATTATCCAAACACCAATATAATTTTTTTCATTTACCACTGTGCTTATGAAGGTGGATCAGTTACATAATGAACACTCATGTCGCTTGATTGGTAGATTATGTCCTTTGGAAGTTATAATTGCTACATTACGGTGCTACTAACATTTAAATACCTTAGTGTCCGAGTAGAAATTTTCATGCTAATGCATGATAGGTTGTGACGCCACAATGCTTGAAGACAAAGAACATTGCAGGACCAAGATAACCATTTTGATATCACGGTGCTGTCAAATAGAGAAGCTTGTGTTGCCTTGTTGATATTATGGTGCCCTGGTAGTGTCCTTGATGGCATTGCAGCATTGAATTAACTAAATCTACATCGGTGAATGCAAATTTTGTGCCCTTTTTGTATTTTTCCTACAAAGTACAACTAAAATTAAACATTTTCACTAAAAATTTAACACATAAAATAATACATTATTAACACTTATCAATATGATAATCATTAGAGTGGCACAAATAGTGGGTTGTTGTGTTTCCTCCTTTGGAGATGGTGTATTGTTACATGAATATGAATATAATATATTACCATTTGACAAAGTTGATGGGACATAACCCTCAGTCAGGGGCCTATAGATTAATATTTGTGATTGCTTATTCTTATTTGATTGATCTTAGCTAGGGCAAACACTTTCTAAGAAGATTTGGGTCTTTTTATTTTTATTTTTATTCATAGATGTTTTCAATGTACCATGACTACTTTCACTAATTGAACTGGATACAATGGGAGATGATTTTGAAGATTTTAATAGATAAAGGTGGTTCACCACTTGCTTAATCGATTTTAGATAGAGCCTACAAAAACTATCAACTTTGATCTAGATGATTGTTCTCATGGGACCCAATGATACCCATCTACTAGAATAGATGTGACATGTTGTTTAACATACTACTTGATGATTCTAGGAGAGTGTGAGGTCAACAGTTTTTCTTAAGACTTCTCTTCTTTTATGGATTTATTGACCAAATTGTTAGATATCAGTCCCTGCATATGACCAATGTATTCTTCCTTAGTTTCAGCAATCTAAGTTATGCAGGTAGTTATATTTTCTTCTTATTTATATTTTAATTCAATTATAAAAAGGGTATGGTGGATATTATACTATCCTATAAACATCCTCTTTCACTTGGGTTGTAGAAAGGGGGTGATAGTGACTTCAACCAACGAGAGGAAATGTAGCAGAAATAGTGATCTCATAACTTTCCTCATATTCAACTTACTCAAAGGCTTCCTACATAGTAATTTTTTTGGCTTTTATGACCATCCTTCTAATTCTTCAATTATATGTATTCTTCTATGCTTTTCTTATAAAAGGGATGGCAGAAGTTGATCCAACTTTGAATACTATAGGATTTTCTTTTTCATAAAAAATTTTAGATTTCTTCTTCTTATCCTCTCTAGGAAGGGTACATTGGGCAGAGGAGTAAAAGGTGGGAGACCTTGGGTGCTGATGCAGCCACTTTTATCCCTAGATTTTTACCATTTTGGTGCAAGTTGTAAGATAAAAGTTGGGAACATAAGATGAAAAGATAAGGAGAAAGTGGCATCCCTGTCAAAATCCACTCTTAGCTTCAATCCAATTTGTTTGGGTTCAAAGTTGGGAACATAAGATGAAAAGATAGGGAGAAAGTGGACATCCCTGTCTAAATCCACTCTTAGCTTTAATCCAATTTGTTTTGGTTCCATTGAAAAGAATTGAAAATCTTGGATTTGTAACGCATTCCATAAGAAGACTTGAAAAACCTGTAGGAAACCCAAAGTAATTCAGAATATTTTTCAAAGAATTCCAAGACATGCAATCATATGCTTGTTCCATATCAATTTTCACTGCCATCATCCCTTTTTTAGATTTAGAAAATCTAAATTTATGAAAAATCTCTTGCACCAAAAGTACATGCTCCGATAAAGATCTAACTTTTAAAAAGGCAGCTTGATTTTCCGAAATCAAGTCATTGATTACCAAAGTAAGTCTATTTAAAAGAAGTTTTGCAATAATTTTATAAATAGAAAAAACATAAAATAATAGGATGAAAATGAGAAGGATATACCAGATTTTGAACCTTGGGAATAAGAACCACCAAAGTCTCTTTCCACTTGACATTCATCTTTCTCGTAGAAATGAAATGAGAAATAGCCTTCCAAATGTCTTGAGAAATTAATTTCTAATAAGCTTTGAAAAAGGAATAAGGAATACCATCAATTCCTGGAGATATGTTGCTTCCAAGACTGAAAATGACTTTTTCAACTTCCTCCAATGTATAATCTGTGTCTAATAAACTAACATTCTCTCTGCTTAACGTCTCCAAACTGTTCGGCCATCTAGAGATTATGCAATCGCCGGCCACCAATGGCTAGCGGTCCAGTCGACGATCATCATTCCTATTTATGAGGTCTTAATGTTTCTACTCGTTCACTTCCATCATCTCCTCCAGCTTTTGGAGATGACAAGATCTGTTTTAATCAAGTCGCTAAAAATAAGCCGAAGTCTATTATGCCATTAACCATAAATGAAGGTGGTCTTTTGATGAATAAAAAGGAAGTTAAAATTTTTGGTATGAGAAAAAAGATATTTCTAGAAGACAATGTGAAAGATTCTTTCATATTTGGATTGCCGCAATAGTTATGGGAGATTCAGTAGCCTCCCCTTCATCAAAGTCTGTGTGGTAATCAATTAATGATGGTAACAACTGTTTGAGGTCTGAAGGAATGGCATCCACTACCATTGGACAGGAAGAACATATTGTTATAGAGGAGAAGGTTTCTGAAGTTCTTAATGTTCATAAGCTGGTAAATAACCCTGATAAGGGTGTAAAACTGCAGTCTAAATTAGTGAAGGTTCATAATTCAAAATCAGGTGATCTGGGTAGTTGTGCAGATGATGTTATTGATGTTAATATCTGTCCTGTTATTGGTAATCAACAAAATGGCTGGACCAAAAATGAAAATATAAATGTTTCTGAATTAGATTTTGGTAACTCCTTATCTTAGGATGGCGCTACTATGTTGCTTCATAAACAAACCAAATTGGAAAATTCAAAAAAAAAAAAAATACAAAATTCACTAGTGGTCAAGGTTTTTGGTGGAGAGGTTCTGTTATCATTAATTAGTTCAGAATTGAGAAAATTCTTGTCTTAATTTGGTAAGCTTCATCTCATGATGCTTGGTATGGGATGGATTATATGTTCTTTCTATGAGCTTGAGAATTTGAAAGGTGTATTGACCAATGGATCTTGTTTTGTTAATGGTGATATCATTGGTATTGATAGATGGTCTCAAAATGTTTGTCCTAATTCGCTTAAAGGTTTAACTACACCAATTTGGATCAGTTGCCTAATATCCCACTTTAGTGTTTGGATGAGATTAGCATTTGTAGGATAGCTTCCATGGTGGGGAAGCCATATTTGATTGATGACAATATGTTTTAGTGGGGAAGAAGAGAATACTGAAGGGTTTGTGTTCATATTAAGCTAGATGCAAAGCTGCCTTTGGGTGTTTGGGTGGAAGGAATTGGTGGGAAGTTCTTTCAGAAGGTTGAGTATGAATGAATTTCCAACTTCTATTTTAATTGCAAAAAAATTGGCCACGTCAGAACTAATTATGTTCAATCCATTTTGGAGTCTAATCATGATTCTAAAAGTTAAAAGAAATTGGAGAATGCAAAGAGTCCTTCTGAAGTAGGTTTTTCTGAAGTTATTCAGGGAAAATTGATAGAAGAAGGTTGTAATGACAAGGTTGGATATGGTCCATGGATGTTGGTAGATTATGGGATGAAGAGGTTTAAAAAATTCTGTTAACAAGAAATTCATTCCTCATCCTAAGGTGACTGAAGGGAGGAAAGTCTATGAAAAAGTGGTAAATAAGGAATCTAAAGATTTTAATGTTGCAAATGGTGTTGGAACTCTAGACCCTATTTTGGATGTTATTCAGGCTGTTCAAACTAATCAAGCTGGTTTTGAATAATATAACTTGCAAAACATGGTTACTAGTAGCAATTCAATTCAAGTAGTGGAACCTGAAATTGCCAAGACTATTCTTCCAAAAGATGATAACTACTTCAAAGTCCTGATGGACCTTGTTGAAGAATGAGAGATAATTGAAAAAAATGGATGATGTAATGGCTGAAGCGGGAGAAAAAGTAAATGCCTCTCTAGATAGAGGAATTTCTGTTGAAACAACTGATGTTACAAGATGTTCAGAAGCTATGTTTTTTGATGGAAAAGTTGCTGAAGTGGGATAAGCGGGCTCTCAACTTACCAAGAAGAAAAAAGCAAAATAACTCAAAGGCTTGTGGCCTGTCAGTACATCTTCTAGGAGTAGAAGATTAAACTTGGAGGTGAAAGGTACAATGGGGACATCTTCCTCTATTTTTCATTAATGTCATCAATGGCTTTTTGTAAATGTAGAGGAGCAAGAAAAAAAAAGTGATTCTCTATATCTTAAGGAGTTTGTTAATCTTCATGGTGTTTTCTTTTTGGGTTTGGTTGGAATAAAGTTGACTTCAATTGATAGAAGTAAAGTCAATTTAATGGTTGGCGATGGATGGGATTTTTTCCATGTTCCATCAGCTGGGCTATCTTGAGGCATTCTTATTTTATGGAATTCAAAATTAGTTGATTTTTTTTTTTTTTTACTCTTCTCAACTGGTAATTGGTGATCTTTAAAATTAACAAAGGATCATGGAGAGTAGCTTCAGTTTATGGAAGAAAAGAGGTGCATAAAAGAAGAGATTTGTGGGAGATGTTAGATAAACACTCCACTGGAGAATTACCTGTGGTAATAGGAGGTGATTTCAATTGCTTAATTTCCAAAGAGGATAAAAAAGGGGGGAGAAGTTTTTTTTTCCCCAAGGGCAAAGCAGATGAAGGAACTTTTGGTAAATAATGATCTTCTTGAGGTGGGATTCATTGGCCCCAAGTATACTTGGTGCTACAATAAAGTAGGCAGAGCATGGATTCTTGAAAGACTAGATAGATGCTTTATCAATTCAACATCCTTGAGTTCTTCCCATCGCTTGGTGGTTAAACATTTAGCTAGAGTGGCTTCATACCATTGCCCAATTCTTTTAATTATACTAGATTTTAATCTAGTTTCAAATAGGAATATTATGTTTGAGGACATTTGGACTTCATATCTATCTTTAAAGGCTGTGATGAAGAAGGAGTGGAAGAAAACTTATCATGGGAGCAGCTCTCATATTCTCAACATCAAGTTTAGAAGAACTTTGAAATCTTTGTTTTTTGGAGTAAAGCTAAATTAAAGAATCTTAATCAACTAAAGGAAGACCTTTTCAAAGAGATTATAGATCTTCAAACAAAGGAATCAATTAATGGTTACCTCTCAGAAACAAATAGTTGTAGCCTTAAAGCCAAAGTAAATGAGTTAAATTCAACCTTGGCTTGGATAAACTCTTGGTGGAAGAAGAGAGCTAAGGTAAAGTGGTTAGTGGATGGTGATTGTAACTCAAGGTTTTTTCATTCTTATGCTAATGAAAGGAGGAATATTAATTGTATTGCAAAAGATAAAGATGAAAATGGCATTGTGGTGGAGGAGCAAAAACTTATTGAAGAAGTTTTCTTCTATTTTTTCAAGAAAAAATAGGAATACAGGAGACGTAACTTGGGCGGTTGGCCACCAGCATTGAATTGTCTTAATCATTTTGACTATAGTTTATTTGAAAGGGATTTCTCTATTGAAGAGGTAGAGTTAGTGTTGAAGCAAACAAGTGGAAATATCTCTCCCAGTAAGAATGGTGTTTCCTATTCATTTATTAAAGCTTATTGGGACATCATCAAATCAATTTTTTGGAATGCTATCAAATATTTTCTTTGCAATGGAGAATTGAATGTTATATGGAAAGAAACGTTCATTGTTCTCATTCTTAAGGTTTCCTACCCAGTCTACCAATCCAACTATAGACCAAAAAGTTTATGTAATTCAGTTTACAAGGTGGCGGCTAAGGTGACTTGAACAGATTAATTGATGTTTTTCCAAAGTTGATCTCGGAGGAGCAAGTGGCTTTTATTAAAGGAAGATATTTGTCAGATCATGTGTTGATTTCTCAAGAATTATTTCATAAATTCATATATTCTAGAGCTGCTAAAGGCCTTGTTTCTTTTAAGGTCACCATAGAACAAGCGTATGACTCTATATCTTAGTCAACTCTAAGGAAAGTCTTGGATTATTTTGGCTTTCCTTCCAAGTTTTCTAAATTGATTTTAGAGTGTGTTGAAGATTTCTCTTTCTCATTGACTGTTAATGGAAACTTCTTTTACTGGATCGAAGCAAAGAGTGGATTTCGATAAGGTTGTCCTTTGTCTCCTCTTCTTTTTATTCTTTTTTCTCAACTACTTGCTAATGATTTTGCTTAAAGCTTATGTGGGATTAGCAATAGTTCAGTAGTTCCAAGACTGTCCCATATACTTTATGCAGACCATGTTATTATGTTTTTAGAAGCCAACAAGAATGATGTAAAGGAAATCAAGGGTATCCTTAATGATTTTTGTGGTTAGACTGGACAATGTATAATTGTGGGAAAATTAGCAATTATATTTGGTAAATTTGTGAGTAAAAGAAAAAAATCATTTCTTATATTATGGGCTTAAGAAAAGTAGCAAGTGATGCTTTCCATTATTGACAAAGCCTTGAGGATGCTTAATATATGGGGAAGTAAGTTTATTTCATTGGTGGGAAAACTCACCTTGGTTAAATCAGTAATGTTGTCTTATCCCACTTTTCATGCTACTCATTCTCTTGTTCCAAAATGGGTGCTAGCGGAAATTGACAAATTGTGTAGGAGTTTTATTTGGAACAAGTCTAATGGAAGATTTGATTTACACTATGTAAGTTGAATTGATATATGTATGCCTTTGAGTTCGGGGGGCCGAGGTTTATATTCAAGTGTTTCTAAAGATCCGGCATTAAGAGCAAGGTTGGCTTGGAGATTTTATCAAAATAAGGATCCTAGTTGCATAAGTTATTGGTTCCTAAGTATGGTTCTTGGTTGGATGTGGGGTATACAAGGAGAGGATGTTCATCTACTTGGAAACCTATAAATAGTGGAGGAGGATTGCTTAATCCTATTGTTAGGTGGTTAATTACAAATGGTGGTTCAGTTGATGCCTTCAATGATACTTGGATTATGGATAAATGTGTTAACAAATGGTCTACATTTGTTGTTTCCCATGACGATTTTGCAGTTTTGTTAAAGATTTTATTGAAGACGGATGTTGTAATGAAGAGGAGTTATTAAAATAATTATGTAGGTGAAATTAATTCCAGAAATCATTGAAGATTGTATGGAGTTGATAAATCAAAAATCTGGAAAAATTATTTTTGGATTGGCTTTCGGAGCTTCAAGCCGACACGGTAATGATATTCAGGTATGGAAGTGGATCAAAAGAAGCAAAACTAAGCTCTTGGGTAGAAGTATTTTGGTGGAGATCATGTAAAAGTTCTATTCCTAAATTTTAGTTTTTATCCTATAGAAGATTAATTGGCAAATACAAATGTCCTAGAGGATGTTATGATGTTGACGACATTGATCACATTTCCAACAATTGTGTGAAACTTAAGGAAGTATTGCAACATTTAAATATGTGGGGATTTGGTATTCCTTCACTTAACTGATTTGAAGAATGTCTTAATTGTTTGGATCTCCTTGCTCAAAAAGACTGCATGCTTCTTAATCTTTATTGTAATGCGGTTTTCCTCTCATGGAAAGCTAGGAAGAAATTCATTCATGATGGTTTGGAATAGAGTTCGGTTCTCATTGCTTCTAATGTTGTTTGTTATTCTTCAGTTTCAAATAGATTTTATTATTTCAACGCGGGCCACTGGGATGCTAACCATTCATTTAGACTATCCAATCTTTGCAATCCTCCTCCCCCTGACTGGTTTAAAGTCAATTTTGATGCCTCTCTAGTCTCTTCATATAGATTTGGAATTGGAGGGGTTTTTCGAGATTGCAAAGGAAGATTTTTGTTGGCATT